TTTTTTTTTTTTTTTTTTGCGCAGATGAGCATTTAATCGGTTCCAAGTAATCATTAAGTTTTCATTTTTATTAAAATCGAGTCAAAATTTTTCCTTTTTCATATTATGTTCAACGTATTGCCAATTTAGCGGAATTATTTGCTATCAACTGCAAAGTCAATTTTGGTTGACTGCTTATTTGTTTAGGATTGTAAGTGATTTGATCGAGAAGAGTATCTATTAATTGCCACCTAAACAGTAGGCATATTTGGCAAGATGAACCGGTAATCATTATACAGTGGTACAGTGGGATGAATGGCAACATTTTTAAACCATTTTTCGTTTTTACTGATCACATTTGAGAGCCAGGGAAAGGAAATAAATGGAGAGTCACGATGTAAAGATATAAATTAAATCTTCATATAGGGTACATTCTGAAGAACGATTCCTTTTTGGAAAGTAATCACCGAGCAGAAATTTATATACCACTCATATGTTTTGTCCAAATGGTTCAGAGTATTTTATAAAAGGACGAGAAGGAAATGAAAACCAGGGTGATATAAGAATACTCTCGACTTGAGGAGAATCGAATGCGTGTTTTAAAGCTCTGGTTGTTTAGAATTTCACAGCCAAAGAGCTTATGATTTTTGATTATGAAAAATGGTGACCAATCAAAAATTGATTTGGAAAATTGGTTGACAATGATTAAGGAATTGTAAAATAACGTATTTTTTCAACGTTTAATTCCAATGATAAATAAAAAGAACGGAAAATGTAATTGTGAACAGTAGTTTATTTATGGAAGAGCATGTGATTTTTCAGCAACTAAACAGCAGCTATTCACTATAATTATATAATTTACAAGTTATGAATTTTGAGTATCTGAAGTGGAAAAAACAATGCAAAAAATTTCCTTTCTATGTGACTTGCTAAATTAAGAGAACTTGATGCTAACTGCTGTACTGATCTTTCCAAGTACAAAAGATGGAAATATACCGTGGCGAAATGAAATATGAAGTGAAGTGAAGTTCACTAAATTCAAATGCTTATCATCTAGTGGTATTTGAGATCGAAAGTGAATAATTCATTTTTGTACTTTTCTTTGAAATATACCTTCATAAGCAAAGAAGGTAGAAATGTACAAAATGCATAGTAAGAGTAGGAAATAATGATAAGTGCGAGATAATAAAAACGGAGTGTATGCGGACAGATCAGTTGAGGTAATTGCTACTTATATCCTTTCACAAACCGACCATCCCATAATTCTTTTTTTTTTTTTTTTGCTAATTTGAATATTATCAGTAGCTGATTTTAAAAGATTCATTGCTGAAATTATTGAATTCGGTTAATTCATTTAATTGCTGTTAATTGGTCCAATAAAGATTCTTCCACTAAAAAGAAGATTTGGAATTCAAAAGTAAGGAAGAAAAATTAAAACACGAAAAAAAAATTAGTAGGAAATGGTATATTTTGTTTTACACTTATAAAGTCACATTTAGGCTTAACAAATTGTTAACAGTAGTTCACGAAAATCACAGACTTATTAGACATACCAGTGAATTTATACTAATTTAACCTCTCAATGCAGAAAAGGACAAAACAAATATCGCACCCTTAACTACATTCCCTGAATCCAGCGGATCAAGTGGGGCGATGCTTATTTCAGACTTCCATGATGCTCGAGTAGCGAGATGGCAGTTTATGAAGATCTAACAAAGATTCAACAGTGAATACGCTTGGAATTAAATCTATATGATGGCGAAATAATGAAAGGATATGAACTTTGGTTATCCGAGATCCTAAAGGAAAAAGCACGTTAAAAGTATCAGTTTACAAAAATGATTTTTGGTTGAATTTTTGTTGAATTAAAAAGCTTTTTCAATGCAGCATTGGATATATGAAATGATTAACATAAGGCGGCATTTTACAGCAATGTTGCTTAAAACAATACTCTCTTGATAGTAAAGACAAAATAGTGGAATCTGATTGCCCCGCCCAGACTTAAAATGTTTCTGATATCCGACAAGAACCTGTTTAAGCAAGGGTTAGGCTAGCATAGATCCAGTAAAGTAACCAATGTAACCAATAATTTCTCGGAAATTAGACATCAGATAATATGGCCAAACTGCAAATGATCCTTCGAAATCACAATGACAATCCAGCTAAGTTATAAGCAAAATAAGGGGAAAACAAAGAAAGGAACAAAGAAATAACCAGACCCAGTGATTATTATGGTAATTAGCAAAAGCCCTCATTAATCATAATCTGAACGAAGAAACACTGAGGATTATTGGATGCATCGTCTTACCAGAAGGACAAGCTTATTAGCGATAAAAATGAGACAGAACATGTTGACATTGACTTGTCCTCATACTGTCGTTATCCATCATTCGGCTTCACTAAAAATTGACTACTGCTGGAAACTTATTTGACAGATCAAACATGATGTATGTCTTCTCGAATAATCAATTGATAAATGTTCTCATATTATCCGTGGCTTTTCGTATTGTCATTTTTCTGACTCAGTTGTAGTGCAGACGCATCAGAACGTCGGTCTTCTTTCATGAAGAACATTGAACGGCAGTCTTTCGTGAATTGCAGTTTAGATTAGTTTATTTCCTTAAAGTGAGTTTATTCGCAAATCCTCACATTGACACTCGAATAATCACAATGCCATATGTATTCACTTAAATCAAACTCAAACTTTTAGGAATTTCTTGGAATAGAGCTGAATTTCCACTTATGATACTTTCAACAATTTTGCAGATATATGAATGTTAAACGAATACAAAGATCCTATTGGGCTTCTTTAAACGTAGACTCAATTATTGGAGAAATGTACATACTGAGTTTTATTTACAAATCCATAATTAATTTATTAAAATACCAGTCCTTCTGTAACACAAAATACTTCGACGAAACCAAAATCTCAACCAAAACTCCTATGATTTCTCGTTATTTAAATTCTTTATGAACCTTGGAAATCTGTTGAACAGATTTGTAGATCCAAATTTCTAAAATCGCTTATCATCAACACAACACTGAATATTATTATCAGCGGCCCATCGATTTTCTTCAGCTCTCTATGAATTGAGGCCAGTGACTATTTAGATGTGACAGGAAGAATTGTTTCAATTGAAATGTGAAAAGACACTGTTTTTGCTTGAAAAATAAAACCATTCCTCTTATTATTTACATTACCTGAAAACAAACATACTGATGGAGAAGTATTCACATTTCTGTAGCGGTAACTTGCAAATATTACGATGTTGCAACAAAATGAGCTCGCTGCACATGTCATTGTTCCACAACACTTTGTGGCAAGAATACTACCACGTTCCAATCAATTATTTTTGCACAGTAACTGTCAAGAGTTTTTGCTCGACAAATCATATGATTGATTTGTCTGCTGATTTATTCGTTATAACAGTAAAGTAAAAGCTAAAGGCTCATGTGACACAATTAAAGTGATTATTTCGAGGAGATATTCTGCTATTAGGTATGAAGTACTGGACGATCGCAGATATTTCGCTTCTCACTAATCGTCCCCATTCTCTTCACTGAGAAGTTTCCGATGTTCACTACGATGTTTGCGACCAATCGCACACAAGTCAACCAAATAAATCTTCAAATAAAAAATTTACAGGAATAAATCAAGGAAAATTGATAATTTAAGTTGGTGTTGCATTTTGGCCTTCAAATTATCAATACAAATCCATTGGTGTTCCGTTCAGCAGAATCACTGAGACTGTCTGCTTACATGATATAATGGAATTCCGCATGATCGCACCCAGAAGAAATTCACAATGCTGAAATAGTCTAACCGTTCCAGGCATTCTATCCTCATTGTATCGCTGCCATTCCTACTATCAAAAGAAAATAAGTCAAACTCACCACTTTCCTGGCTGATTTTAATCTAATTTGTTTTTCCACATCATTCTGAGCAATCCTCTGACTACTTTTCGAATCATCATGATTGCTACCTTTATCACAACTACTTATCCTGCAAGAATTGCGTTGTTCGTGGATAAATGGTTTTGGACCTGTTAGCTTTCTTCGCACAGCCAGTGAAACCTAAAAAGCATGTTTGGATAAAAAGGCAAAATGCAGGACAGTTATCAAGCAATTAATTATCTTCGCACCGTATTTTCAAATATGATCAAATGGCCGGAAAACTGGTGATACTCTCTCTGTTCGATCTGAACATACACACAGCAAACAGTGTATTACACCTCCCCTTTTATTGGCGGTTCTTGCTCAAGCGCCCTCAAGAAATGCGCTCTGAGGTAAAGCTAACTTTTGCAATACCTTTCGTAATAATTTATCAGTACGGCTATGATCACCATTAACAGTCGTAGCAGTAACAGTAGAAGTGGGTTCAATATGATATATAGAACTCGGTGAAGTAATGGTTGGACATGTTGTTGCTGAAAAAGATGTACTTGTGGTAGAACCATTTGGATTGCTCCTTGTTTGAACCGTTTCACTGTAGAATCTGAAATTTGATGTACTAGGAAAATTGAATAGTTCAGTCCAGTTCAATTCATAAAACCATTCAGTTCTTAAAATCTTTAGACTGAAAGAAAATTAAGGCATTAAGAGGAGATTTTACAACTCACCTATCACAAGCCGGCTTTATGTCAGCATTTTCAGATTTATCATTAAAATCAACATCATTTGCATATTCATCAACCACTAAACGCTTAGCGGTTCGTTTGTAGGAATGCTCATTCAAACGCCTCGTCATCATTCGTTGCAACGCTTCCATACCGTTAATTATTTAATCTTCTTTTAGGATACTTGAAATAAAAAGAACCAGAGATACCAAAAAAGCCATGATAATTAATTGATTACAATTAGAAAACAAACATTGCAATAAATCAAGGAAAAATGAATCTGAACTCCAACAACATGCCACAGAATCACTCCAAAATTTCATGAAAGTGAGGGAACATTTTTTTTTTTTCATAGAAATTATTCAGCATCACACGGCCCATTTATATATATATATATATATATATATATATATATATATATATATATATATATATATATATATATATATATAT